AATTCATTTATGAAATTTTAGACAAAAACCCCCAAATTTTAGCTTTTAAAAATACTTCAATCAAAATGCATAAAACAAAGATAAATTCATGAAATATAAAAAAATCAAGTACAGAACACTTACCCCAATCCATAGGAAAAAATTCCTCTAAAAATTTGTCACGACCCAAACTGGAGGGCCATGACTAGCACCCGGCCATACTTACCGAGCACCAACATACATTTTATCTAACCTTCTTTATTATCTTTTAGGGCTGACGAGATCAATATAAATGGTAGACATGGGTCATGGACAACCAACAATAAAATATGATGGCATGAACATACATAACATGGGATGACTAGACAATCAAGAAACTATATATAAGGTACGAGCTACCACACTACCATGAGAGACTATACAAGAAAACCAGCCGACAAGGCCTACCAAACTATACACGAGTCGACACCTGTCTATGAGCCTCTAAAGGAACATAAGTGTTGCAAAATAGCTGGAACAGGGCCCCGACATACCCATAATATCTATAACAAAAATGCATACCAAGACCAAGGCAAGTCCGAAGAAGGGATCTCGCCAATCACCGCTGAACTGGACAGCCTACTATGGTGGGGGAGCTGCGCCTGCCTTTCTATCAGGACCTGCAGCACGACATGCAGCGTCCACAAATAAAAGGACGTCAGTACGAATAAAGTACTGAGTATGTAAGGCAGGGAACCATAAGTACGAACAGTAATGTAAGCAGGGATAGAGAATAAACAACCTGTAACATCTGGGTACCTCTAAGGGCTACTGACATGAAATGCGTGATACATATGTATATATACATAAACTTTTAAAACATACGCCTCTGTGGGCATCATCATCATCATATCGTACCCGGCCGTAATAGGCTTGGTAAAAACGTACCCGGCCGCGTGGAGCTCGGTAAAACCCAATTGATCAGTGGTTGCACAATAGGTGCCGTACCCGGCCGACTATAGCGCGGCTCGGTAGAGTAAAATAGATACATATATATAATGCATGCTCGACTCACGGACTCACGTTCTAAACCTTTCGGAGTGACGTAAGGTCGGTATCCTCTGTACACGTTATTAGGACTAACTCTTCACCATGAACCTTATAAGAATCAGGAAGTACCAATAACATTGACAACATAAGAATAAGAGAAGCAACATCAACATCAATCGTTCCATAAGAGGGGAAACAATGTAAGTACTGCTAGCTTCTAAGAGTAGAGTATCTTTGGAAGCTCGTTCATTACATTATGTACAATCGGAGTCGTGCAAAAGAAGGAAAGGGATAGCCTCACATATCTTGTATATGCTGCCCCAATCTCAAGCTATGCAATTTTCACGACTCCTTAGTCTACAATAAGAGAAACGATACTATAGTTACCATTCAAGCGTCATAACTATTATGTATCGACCACAACCTATTTTACGATGAAACGGACAGCACCTCCCCTATATATATGACTTCACACAATTCCAAAAAATCACCAAACAGCCCAAACTACATCAATAATAATCATATTGAGCCTCCCAAAACAGTCCACGCACAACCAAATCACTTCATACATACGACGGCCACCGTAGTCGTGTCAAACGACCCGGAAATGTTACGAAGAACTACCAGCCCAGAACCCTACATCTATATGGTGTTTCTCCACACCCTTCCTCCTCCAAAACTCCACAAAACAGTAGTAAAACACGCAGCCCAACAGCAACACAAAACAGTCCACAAAACAGTCCGCTACAAGTGAATAACTCGAACTCACGGCTTCCGATCACCGTCCCGTGAGTTCTTACATGTATAGAACGACTTACCATGAATTCACAGCAGAATAAATGTATGAAAGATAGCAGTAAACTCACCTTACTTGTTGGATAACTCAGCCCTTATCTTGGCTCTTCAAACTCTAGGGTTTACCCCAATTTGAACTTGAAAGAGAGGGAAAATCAATTAGGGTTTATGGATAATTTTTGGGAGGAAGTTTGCAGGGGTTTAGGTCTGGTTATTTGTGAAATATAATGAGGGGTATATTGCAGAAGATAAGCCTTTTAATGGGCTCTTTGTCTGACCCGAAATTGCCTCTTTTTGGGCTATCATTTAACCAAGTAGGTGACCCACCTACTTGTCACCTAGCAGCTTGTGCAGTCTCGCAAAAATGTCTATATCTCTCTACTCCAATGTCGTATTGATAAAAGGTTTAATGCGTTAGAAACTAGACTCATATATCTTCAATTTGGTGGGTAGATCACCCCGTAATTCCAAGTATATTGGGAGAAAAACTTAATAACATTTGACCTAAAGTTTAAGTAAAACTATGAACTTAAGTTGCAACAACTCTTGTCGACTTTTGTTTCATAACTCGTTTGACTTCAAGACTATGATACGGATATTTTATGATTCATATACCTTAAAATACGACCTCTTGAGAGTATTAAGCACCCCTAGGTTTACCCAAAAATACGGCTGACAACATCCTTGATTCGTTTAACTTCTAATACTTGTTAACCACCCTTATACACCTTTGTATCATTTAAGACCAATAGGATTAATCTCTTATCATCTCAAAGATAATCTCTTCATGGATTTACGTCGATGACCTTATGGCATGAACTAACGTATGTGAATATGGGTTGTAACAAGATGCATGTCCGCAGGGATTTTGCAACTAAAAGCCCAGACCTTCCCTGGGAGCACAACGTTTTATTACAATCCCATTTAGATGATCTGCGAGAGACGCACCATATTCCGGACCACGTGGAAATGGTTCCGGCCGGGACGGACTATGCCAATGTGCACCGGCCTGGATATTGCACATTCTATGAGTACCCGTTCTTGATCGGTTACAATCTTCCAGTCTACCCTCTGATGGAGGAGCTTTGCCATTTTTATAATGTGTGTCCGGCCCAGCTCACTCCTTACACCTTGAAGGTGTGCCGTATTATGACCACTTATGCGGCCATGGCTGAGTGCAGCGTCTCGATCCACCACCTCTTACAGTTATTCAGCCCTGGTTACCTGAGGGGTACCGTGCTGCAGTTAAAAGGTTGTGGCACAAGAGGCTTGGTTGTTAAAGCCGATGATAAGCCCAACCACCGCTTTTGGCGTAAATATTTCTACATTAGGACGGAGCACCTGGTGTCGAATCCCGAAGGGTTCCCGGAAAGATGGAATCCAGAACGTAAGTATTTCTACTCGTAGAATTCAGGACTGCTTGCGCTTTTGACCATACGGCAATTGTGATTTCTTTGCTTTTCTCCGCCCCTTTATTTTTTATTCGCAGCGAGGGCTTCTCCACCCCAGTTCATTGAAGACATTAAATCATGGGTGGAAAGAATAATACCTTATGCGGAGGAATGCCGTACCTGGGCTGCATTTCTTCAACAGTACGACCCTTCAGGTAATTCTTTGGCTACGATTTGGGAATTCCCTACGTTCTCGTTTCCTCACTTATTCGTGTTGGCAGGTCGGAGCGCTCCTAAGAAGAAGAAAAAGAATGTCGTCACCTTACCTGGGGCGGGGACTGATTCCGAAGACGGATACATACCCTGTGGTTCGCCCAGCGAGGGCGCTGCGGAGGTCCCTCAACCGCTGCCTGTGGCGGCGTCCACGAGGGGAGCGACTCCTTCATTGCCATCGCCACGGGCTGTGGAGGAGACTTCTGAGAGCGAGGAGCCGCCAGAAAGGAAAAGACGTCGGTTGATAACCTGCAATGGGATAGCCTCAGAAGACGAGGGGGCGAGCGAGCCCCATCGGGAGTCGAGGCTAGTTTTTATGGCAGATGCCATCCGTTCCGGGAGGTCGGCTCCCCAAGGGGGGGTGGTTCTCGATGCCAGCCCACCACGCATTTCGGAGAGCGGCTCGTCGGCTGCCGTTGGAGAAGCGGGTGATGATACCGAGAGGGTGGGCCCTGAGGCCGCCCAGGCGGCTGCAGATACGTTAACGCGGGGTCCGGCCCGTGTGGAGATGTCGGCAGGTAGATCCAACCGCCGAATTCTGATCCCAGGAGGATATAACCTGTTGCAACACAGCGAGCAGGCCGCAACGGATATGACCCTGCTATGTGCGGCCGCTGAGCGTGAAACATTACAAGGGGTTAGCGACGGGGAACTATCCCGGAGGGTTGCCGGCGCAGCCTTGCAGGTATTTTTCGATTTTCTTCATGTACCGTAAAGTAAACTTTGATGCAGACTGACTTGCCTTTCCTCCTTTTCCTCTTTTTTTAGACTCTCATATTGGAGATAGAGAGGGGGCGGCGAGCACAAAGGAAGGCAGCCACCTTTAACAAGGTGGTAAAGAAATATCGGCGGTGCCGTGTCAAGCATCAGGCGCTGGCGGACCTACTCAAACAGGACCCGGAATTTTGGGTTTTCCGTGAGGGTTTGGAGCAGTCGGAGGCCCAGCTGAAACGGAGGGTGGCCGAGTTGGAGCAGATCGATGAGCAGCTGATGACCGCCCTGGCTCGAAACATTGAGCTGGAGACTCTTCTCCAGTCTAAGGAAGAAGAGTTGGAGGTTGGCCGTGGGGTAGCGGCGGAAGCTGCTGATTTGCGGATCAAGGTTGCCGCTATGACCACCGAACTCGATGCCAAGGCGGCTGAGATTGAAGTCCTCAAGCGGACTGCTGCACCAAGGCCTGACGAGGATGCGCATCATGAGGCGCATGACATGTGGGTGTACGCCGAGGCCAGATTGGTCGTATTCGAGGAGTTCTTAGCTGCGGGTCGAGCTACTGAGGCGGAGGTTCAAGAGCAACGGCGCATAGTCCGTGTCGCCCGTGAAACTTGTGGGTATAGTTCTGATTCCCCAGACCGGGCGGGCTATAACTCCGAAGACGTCAACCATCTAGGATCCGGCTCTTGGATCTCTGCGGCCTATCAGACCGAGGACGGCGGTGGACGAGATGGCGATCCGACGGGAGGCGGTGAACAGAATGGCGAAGCCCCTTAGGACTTGTATTCATTTTGTTTTGCTGTATTTGGAGACGTGAATAGGTCCTTTTGTACATGTATTTTTGGATGATAATGGAAGTTATACTTTTGCTGTTATTCTTTTCTTTCCGGCCTTTAATATTGTTGATGGTCTTAGCTGTGTGCGCAACTTCAACTATCGTCGAGTTACTCGCTGTCACAGTCGAGCTGGGTCGACTTATCGGTGTCGATGGCCTTGGCCATTATACCGTTGATGGCCTTAGCCATGTGCGTAACTTCGACTGTCGTCGGGTCGTTTACCCACCGCAGCCGAATCTAGGTCGACCGTCGGCGGCGATGGCTTTGGCCATAATATAGTTGATGGCCTTAGCCATGTAGGCGACTTCGACTGTCGTCGAGTCGTTTACTCACCGTAGTCGAATCTAGGTCGACCGTTGGCGGCGATGGCCTTAGCCATAATATAATTGATGGCCTTAGCCATGTAGGCGACTTCGACTGTCGTCGAGTCGTTTACTCACCGTAGTCGAATCTAGGTCGACCGTTGGCGGCGATGGCCTTGGCCATAATATAGTTGATGGCCTTAGCCATGTAGGCGACTTCGACTGTCGTCGAGTCGTTTACTTACCGTAGTCGAATCTAGGTCGACCGCTGGCGGCGATGGCCTTAGCCATAATATAATTGATGGCCTTAGCCTTTCATACATTGGAGATGGCCGTAGCCTTTCATACATTGGAGATGGCCGTAGCCTTTCATACATTGGAGATGGCCGTAGCCTTTCATACATTGGAGATCAAGCTAGTCCAGTCCCTTTATCATGTTGGCCTGGAGGTCATAAGGAGAGGTTGATATGATAAACTTGTTTCGCAAGTATCTCCAAGTGTCCCCTCTGCCGCCTCGTTTAAAACCTCCCCGAGAAAACCCAATTAGGACAAAACTCGGGTAAGGCAAAAAGAGTACGACTCGGGGGACGCCTTTCAGAAGTGGAAATACTTGAGGTGAGTAACGTTACAGTTGTTTTGGAGCGTTTTCCCTTCCATTGTTTCCAACTGGAATGCGCCTTTGCTTGCTACTGCTGTGATTTTGTAGGGTCCTTCCCAGTTGGTGCCCAGTTTCCCTTCACTTGGGTTTTTGGATGCCAATGTCTTGGCTTTAAGGACATAATCTCCCACCATGAGTGGTCTTATTTTGGCTCTCTTGTTGTAGTATCTCTCGACTTGTTGCTTTTGGGCCACCATTCTGATATGGGCCATTTCTCTCCTTGTCTCAGCTTCGTCGAGGTTTTGGAGCCTGTTTGTGTCGTTTTCTATTCCACTGGTGTGTGAATATCTTAGGCTTGGTTTGCCGACCTCGATGGGTATGACCGCGTCGGTTCCGTAGACCAGCGAGTACGCTGTTTCCCCCGTGCTGGATTTGAGTGTGGTCCTGTGTGCCCACAACACTTCGGGTAGCAGTTCGGCCATAGCCCTTTGGCATCCTCGAGTTTCTTCTTTAGTATGTTTAATATTGTTTTATTGGAGGATTCTGCTTGGCCGTTGGCGGCAGGGTGATATGGCGTGGAAAGTATCCTCTTGATGCGCCATTTCTCGAAGAATTCGGTCGTTTTTTGACAGATGAACTGTCGTCCGTTGTCGCAACTGATTTCTTTGGGGATGCCGAAGCGACATATAATATTTTTCCATATGAAGGCGATCACTTCTTGTTCGCGTATTTGGGCGTACGCTCCTGCTTCCACCCACTTGAAAAAATAGTCAGTTAAAACTAATAGAAATCGTACCTTTCCTCGTCCCGCTGGTAGGCGACCGACTATGTCCATTCCCCATTTGATGAAGGGCCATGGGGAAGTGACCGAGTGAAGTGGCTCTCCTGGTTGGTGTATCATGGGGGCATACTTCTGGCATTGTTCGCTTTGGCGAACATATTTCGCTGCGTCTTTCTTCATAGTGGGCCAATAATAGCCGACTCGTATTATGCAGCGCACGAGGGCGCGGTTGCCTGTATGGGCACCGCAATGACTTTCATGTACCTCTTCGAGCACTGGCCGCGTTTGTTGCGGCCCTAGACACTTGGCCAGGGGTCCGCCAAACGTCCTTTTGTAGAGCTCGTGGTTTATCAGGCAATACCGGGCGGCCTGTACGCGGAGCTTCTTGGCTTCCTTTTTGCCGAGTGGGAGTGTTCCATCCTGCAGATAGGATACAAATTGGTTGCGCCAGTCCCAAGTCAAATTTAAAGAAAGTACCTCAGTGTGGTCAATGGCTGAATGGAGGAGGGTGACCACGCTTTCTTTGTTGAAATTTTTAGTGGCTGCGGCCAATTTTGCTAGGCCGTCTGCTTCAACGTTCTATGCTCTCGGAACCTGTTCGAAGCGGCACTCGTCGAACTCGGTCATTAACCTGTGGATTTCTGACTGGTATTTTTGCAACCTCTGTTCCTTGATTTGGTAAGTCCCGGTGACCTGGTTCACCACGAGTTGAGAGTCGCAATGGAGAACGAGTCGTCGAGCTCCATACTTGATGGCTAGTTTCAAACCTGCAATAACAGCCTCGTACTCGGCTTCGTTGTTAGTCATCTCGGGGCATCGTATGGACTGGCGAATTGTTTCGCCCGTGGGACCTCGAGAACGAGTCCCAGTCCCGATCCCGAGGCGTTAGCGGCGCCATTAATGTAAAGAGTCCATAGGTCGGCGTTGGAGGGGGCACGGTGTGCCTCCAATTCCGCCTCTGGTAGTATCTCTGCGCTGAAGTCGGCTATAAAGTCGGCAAGTACTTGCGACTTGATGGTGTTTCTTGGATGATATGAGATATTGTGCTCACTGAGCTCTATGGCCCATCGGGCGAGTCTGCCTGATAACTCAGGCTTGTGTAGGATACTTCTCAAGGGGAAGGTCGTCACTACCTTTATGGGGTGGAATTGGAAATAGGGTTGGAGCTTCCGTGAAGCTACGACCAATGCCAAAGCTAATTTTTCAAGGTGTGGATACCGTGTTTCGGCGTCCACTAAGGTTTTGCTAATATAGTAAATAGGAGATTGCGTACCTTCATTTTCACGAACTAGGACTGCGCTGACGGCGACCTCGGATACGGCCAAATATACCAGCAGGGGCTCGCCTGGATTTGCTTTGGCTAGCAGTGGCGGCGAAAGACTAGGTACGTCTTTCAATTTCCTTAGGGCCTCGACGCATTCCTCGTTCCACTGTAACCCATTGTCCTTTCTTAGCACATTGAAAAACTTATGGCATCTGTCGGAGGACCGTGAGATGAACCTAGACAAGGCGGCTATTCGCCCCGTCAGCTTTTGCACCTGCTTTTTGCTGTTCAGTATCTCGGGTATCGCGTCTATCGCCTTGATCTGATCTGGATTGACTTCGATACCTCGTTGTGATACGAGAAACCCTAAGAATTTTCCTGATGCCACGCCGAAGGTGCATTTCTCGGGGTTCAGTTTTATCCCGTATCTTCTCAATATCTCGAAGGTTTCTTTCAGATGGTCGATGTGGTCCTCTTTTCTTGTCGACTTTACCAGCATG